AACATGGGTCTAATAAAAAATGGCAGGCAGCTTATTCCCTTCACTATTTATTCTCCAATTTGTGAAAAGATTTGTGAGCCCCCAGGGCCAAACATGTAGACAAAGATGTACAAATTCTAGAGAGCTCTGCACCATGTGCTCAACAAACTAAAAATGGCTGACACCACATGGAAACTCAAGAATAAATACATGTGACCACTAGGCGTCAACATAAATTAACCCTTTGTGGTCCAGAATACTAAGTAACACCGATTTGTCAACATGATGCTCTCTTGCATCTTTTTGGAGCTTTTCACACTACTTGACACACTCTGGTTTCTTGTGCGTGTCCAGATTGTTTTCTATCAAAATATTAAAAATGTAAATCTTTCAAGCAATGTACTGTAAACGTTAACAATGAAAATTTTTTATGGTATGCCTCCAAAATGGTGTGTAAGTGGTGTCAACAAAAAAACGTGACTGACTAAGGCTGATTGCCGTTTAATAATCATATTGCAATCTGATTGGTAGATCATGGATCGCCCAGGAAACTATGTGGAGCCTACCATTATTACAGGATTGTCGCACAATGCTCCCATTGTTCATACTGAGACCTTTGTTCCAATCCTCTATGTACTTAAGTTCCAGGTAAGCTTCCTTTTCCAGCTTTCTTCAGATTCCTGTAGATTGGTTGCTGTTGATGGTCTGTTTGTGGTTTTTCCAGAGTGAGGATGAGGCGTTTGCCTGGAATAATGAAGTGAAGCAAGGGCTCTCCAGCAGCGTCTTCACTAAAGACATGGGACGGGTATTCCACTGGCTTGGGTACGTCTTAACAGACTGTTCTCATCTGACTGGCTCTGTATAAACTCATCTGAGGAAATGTGTGAATCTACAGACCAAAAGGCTCTGACTGTGGAATTGTGAACGTGAACATTCCCACCAGTGGTGCTGAGATTGGAGGAGCATTCGGTGAGGTCCCAGAGACTTATGTGATTCTCAACGCATCTTCCAGCTTGGGAGTCTAGCACCACATACTACAGCTTCTAACTGTTCGCAAACCATGAAGGACTGGTCTTTATTTTCCTTCTCATGCTCAGGTGGAGAGAAACACACAGGAGGTGGACGAGAGTCTGGCAGTGACTCCTGGAAGCAGTACATGAGAAGATCCACATGGTGAGTTTGAAAACATTATTGTTATTTGATTTTTTATTTTTTTTTTTCAGGGAATTACACAAGTTATACTCTTCTTGCAGCACAATCAACTACAGCAAAGATCTGCCATTGGCCCAGGGGATCAAGTTTGAGTGAAGGACTTTCTGATCAAGATTGAGGAAAACCAATTGCTTTTGTGTGTCTATTTGGATGGCAGAATGCTTGAATGTCTGACCTCACAGGTCTACCAGGTGGTATTTTGTACTGATAAAAAATAAAAAGTATATTTGTAGAATTTGAATTATCTATTTGAGTTCATGGATCTCTGATGTTGTTTACAATTGTTTTTGCCAACAGAGACAACGAAATAATTTTGTTTTTGTTGACAACGAAATAATTTTGTTGACACCTTTTTGTGGTGACACTATTGAGATGCTGACGAGCAAAATGGGCCTCCGTTATGACAAAAACTTGATGAGATGCACACAAGAAAAGCAGAGTGGATGAAAATGTCAATACAGTGGTACCCCGAGATACAAAATAATCTGTTCCAGGGTGGCTTTCGGGGTACCACTGTAAGTGGACGGTCAAGTTCAAAATGATGAGTTCAAGATTCATAATATAAAGTATCCACCAGTGCTTTTCATCCTTTTTATCTGGTCGGACCCACCACCTGATGCGCTGCACATGCATGAGCTTGAAGCACCTGACTCCTAAAATCCCCAGGTGACAAACATGAGCATTTTCATTCTTTTGAGGGTCATAACGGCAGCTTCAATAAAAGAACTTGGTGGATGGAAATTATGAAATGATACATGCTGCTAACACACAGAGGAACTATGGTAATAACACACAACCATCTAATAGATTATGAATTCTCAAATTAAATCGTTTTAATGTAAACAAAGACTGGTTTTATAAGGTGGCAATAGCCGGTTTCACAAGGCTATTGCAAATGAAAAAATGGCAAACTGCAAAAAAACATGTTTAAACATGTATGCAGGAATATACAAACTGCAAGAACTGTTCTGCATGAACTATAACAAGCGGACATGGTTTGTCTAGGTAGATGCTTTGTCTATATCGGTGTTGTGTAAAAACTGCAAATGGGACAAAAAGAACTGTTACTAGGACTTATATGTTATGTTCAGGTAGGTATTTATTTTATTTTTATTATTTCTTCTTCTTTTCTTTCCCTTATCCCTTATCCACTCCCCCTTTCAGTCCAACGCTGTCTTGACCTGATACAACTGATGTAAACTGACTCGTGGGAACCACAACTAATAATTATTTACATGCATCCAATGCTCCAATCCAGAGGGGAAAACACTACACCAGGTGTTTTACTCCCCTGGAGAAAGTAAAGCTGTCCAACTCAGCAAAGCATTTACTCTCCCATGTGATGGCTTTTGAATGGGACAGGATAAGGTTAAAAAAAATAAATAAAGCAACCCCCACATCTCAACTGTGTTCTGTTTAGAACGGGTCGCCAACGAGGAGCCCGCGGACACCTGGTCGCTCCTGAGGACCACATGAGTGTATACATGACAGTATATAAATAAAAAACAATTATATATATATATATATATATATATATATATATATATATATATATATATATATATATATGAACTACGACCTGGTAGAGTTGAAAGGTCAGTATGATGCGCTAGATTCCTGACCTATAAAAAGATTTCATTTTTGCGACGAATACAGGGTAAAGTTTATTTATTTATTTTTTTTACCTCTGTAGAAGGAGCTTGTGTTTGTCTCATTTGCGCGATAACTGTGGTGGTGGCGGCGGTGGCCAAGCGGCACAACGTGGCGAGACATTTCACAATGTGCCACAGAAGCTAACAACTATCCACAGAACAGCACACTGCAGAAAAAGCAGCGAGTTTCGGAGATGCGGGAGAAGCACATCTGCAAGTCTCACTCAGAGTACAACATATTAGTGAACCGAATGCAATGACGACTTCCCAGTAACTGAAAGAAACATACCAGATTTGGTGTCCAGCTCATGTTTAGTTCAATACGTTTGTAAACTGTAAAAATTGTTTATGGTAAAATGTTAACAATATTTTTTTAATATTTTAATATTGGACATTTCAATTTCCTTGGACTGTTGTCCAAGGATCATTTTGCAATGTTTATAACATATATTTTTTTCAATTTATAAAACACTTGCACAAAGACAAAATATAAATATAAGTGTTGCATATAAATATTTATCTGTTTCTTACCTTGTTAATTTATTGTTGATAGTCATTGTGAAATAATTAACATAGTGTCTTTGCAGAGATGAATATCCCTAATTATTAATAAATTCAAAAGAGGGTATCAAAGTGTTAGCCCTTTGCATTAATCATTACCCAGGAAGTAGCTCTCGGTTTCATAAAGGTTGGTGACCCCTGAATTAGAAGATATTTGACATTGAAAGTTATGTGGCTTAATGAATTTATGTTAGTTCTCAAGCTATGATTGGCTGGATAAGTGATTTGCTTTCTTAATGCTAGTATGACTCTCCAGTGTCAACCAATTACAGAAGCTCTTTCACAACAGCGTCTTATGGGATTCATGCTCCATTCATTTCAATGGGCCATTGAAAGTCAATGAAGACACCTTTGACCTACTTATTTGCCATCAGTTGCACCTGCACCAAACGGCCAGTTTTTGAATGATGCCATATCTGCTGGAGAGAAACAAATAAAGATTATAGAAGAACCGTAAGACATATCGAAATGATTCTTCCTTTTCAGAAGCAGAAGACCGTAACGAAGAGAATGCTGTAAATTTTGTGAAGGTGTGATAAGAAATATAACATTTATGGCGAGCTAGAAATAGCATTCGTTAGATTTTTTGCGAAAACACATTTTCGAGAAAACCATACCTTGGCCAAATAACGATTACGAAAGAAGGATTAAACATATTTAAATAATTCCTTCACTGTAAGAATCTAAACGCTGTAATAATATTTAGATGATAATAATATTTAGATGACTGCTCTTCTATCAGTGACTGAAGCTCTCAGATCTGCCAGAGCAAACTCAGAATCGTCAGTTCTCATTCTGCTAGACCTCTCTGCAGCCTTTGACACGGTGAACCACCAGATCCTCCTGACCACACTTGCTACTAAAGGTATCTCCGGCACTGCCTTGGATTGGCTCAAGTCTTACCTCTCTTCCAGATCCTTCAGAGTCGGCTGGAGGGACAAGGTGTCCAAGCCACAGCAGCTGCTCACAGGAGTTCCGCAGGGATCAGTTCTTGGACCCCTACTCTTCTCTACCTACATCACCTCCCTGGGTCCCATCATCAACCGACACAGCTTCTCCTACCACTGTTATGCTGACGACACTCAACTCCACCTGTCATACCATCCTGATGATACTACTATTACAAGCCGAATAACAGACTGTCTGAATGACATTTCTACATGGATGAAGGACCATCACCTCCAGCTCAACATGGCAAAGACTGAAATGATGGTTATCCCTGCAAACTCCACTGTCCAGCATGACTTCACCATACAACTAGGGTCGTCGTCTATCTCTCCATCCACCTCTGTTCTTAGTCTTGGAGTGATCTTCGATGAGGAGCTGACATTCAAGGAACACATTGCTAAAACTGCTCGATCTTGCACTCCTTGTGGTTTAGGCCACCTGGAGTAAAAAGATAGACAAAAGACTCAGTAACATTAGATAAGGCTTGTATTGTTGTATGGTGTAGTGGTCAGCACTCTGAATAATGAATCCAGCAATCCTGGTTCAAGTCTTGGTAGGTCCTTCTTTTTCTTGACAACAATCAAATCAAGACTTTATGTTTGGCTGGTTAAAACTGGTTTGAGACAAACACTTAGTATCATTTGATAAGCCTTGTGTGGTGTAGTGGTCAGCACTCTGAATAATGAATCCAGCAATCCTGGTTCAAGTCTTGGTAGGTCCTTCTTTTTCTTGACAACAATCAAATCAAGACTTTATGTTTGGCTGGTTAAAACTGGTTTGAGACAAACACTTAGTATCATTTGATAAGCCTTGTGTGGTATAGTGGTTAGCACTGTGAACCTTGAATCCAGTGATCCAAGTTCAATTCTTGGTAGGTACTTCTTTTTCCTGTCAACAATCAAATAGTTTTTTGGGGGGCTGGTTAAAACTGGTTTGAAATAGAAAAATTACTTAGTAACATTATATAGGATTTGTATGGTTGTGTGGTATAGTCGTTAGCACTCTGACTTCTGAAACTTTGTGGACTGGTGTCAGCGAAACCACCTCCTGGAGATGGAGAAACCAAGGAGATGGTGGTGGACTTTCGAAGACGAAACTCTGCGCCCCCGCCCCTCTCACCGGTGAACATCCAGGACATGAATGGACATTGAGCAGGTGGACTCATACAAATACCTGGGTGTTCACCTCAACAACAAACTGGACTGGACTCACAACACAGATGCACTGTACAGGAAGGGTACAACTTCTGATTGCATTTCTTACACATCACAGTGTGCAATAAATTATTTATGTAGTCTCTGATGCACTATGTACAGTTACAGTTTTATTTTGATTGAGTCTATTTTAAAATGTTTATAGCTTTTTATTGGCACTCTATCTTATAATTTATATATATCTTTTTATTAGTACTGTATTGTTTGTATAACGGTGCAAAAATGCAATTTCCCCATTGTGGGACAAATAAAGGTTTCTTGATCTTGAATCCTGTGATCTGACTTCAAATCTTGGTGGGACCTTCTTTTTCCTGCTAACAGTAAAATAGATTTTTTTTTGTTTGGCTGGTTAAAGCTGGTTAGAGATAGCCAAAATACTTAGTAACATTAAATAAGATTTGCATTATTGTATGGTGTAGTGGTTTGCACTGTAGATAATGAATCTCACAATGAACTCCTCAAGTTATTCGTAGCGTGTTTATTGCAGATACCGTTTTTGATAAGAGCCATGAAGTCATAAAATTTTAAATAGCGCTCAATTAGATTGGTTTCATTTATTATTTTTCATTACATTTTTCTCTGAATGTGTGATCACAAATGCTTTTTATTTTCTGAATGAAGTGGACATGTAAACTATACACATTATTCTATTGGAGTCGCAAGAGAATTTTTTTACACTACACAAATAGTCACAGGTATTACGGAAGAAACTGCCCATTAACAGTATGTTAACAGTAAACTCACATTGCACAGTATTTCCAATCTAAGAAGTCCCTGCGGGTCTATCTGAGAGCCTGTGGGCTCATAGAAGTATGTAAAAAAAACTTTCGGATTTATGGTTAATTTTATTGGTGCTGAAGGGTAGTGTTAATGTGTATTTATTGATATTTCATAGTTATTTCTTAGTGAGAATAATGATCAAGAGTAGTTCAGATTAGTATTTTTCTGTGCTCTCATTAACTTGGATATAATGTTTAAATAGTTCTATATACGTTCTAATATGTTTATTTAAAAAATAGATTTTCTTTAGATCTATCTTGCTGTTGCGTCATGCTGAATCAAGATAACATTACGAGTGTTGCCATAGACAATTTGCCTGATACTGTTGATGACTTCCACTCAAAAGAGCTTGGACCAAAGGGAGATCTTGTGATTCAGTTTCAAGACCCTTAGTATGATGATGAACTCTGCAATTTAAGAAACGTTTCAGATCTGCCAAATGACAAGGCCTCTTTGAAAGTGTACAGTCCGACTTGAGTCATACCACACAGACTCATCATCATCGGCATCAGGTGGGGCCCAGTAGCAGCCAAACTCAACTGCCTCAAAGGTAAAATTTTGTTTTGGTTTCAAAGATGTTCTTTGAAATTTTGGTGTCACATTTTTAATGGTTGGTTTTTTTCCTCTTAACCCTGAGATTGAAGTAGAATTTGCTCGCCTTGCATCTGTTGACCTGAAAGCTACCTTTATTGCTGGGCTTGACCAATATCTGCCAAGGTTCCTTGAGCTATATAAATCCAAGGCTGCCATAATACCACTGTCCAGGCTTCTGAAATTACTAGATGACAACGTAATTGTTAAAGCATTTAATACTTTTTTCATAGTCAATCATACAGGAAGACACCACAGTGCTTATATTTGTATTAGTCATCATTATTTTTTTGATCAAAACATTTTCTTTTCCTTTCGGCTGTTCCCAGTTTAGGGGTCGCCACAGCGAATCATCTGTTTCCTCCTAACTCTGTTCTCAGTATACTCTACTCTTGCACCAACTAACCTCATGTCCTCTTTCAGCACATCCATACAGCAGGGAAAATAAGTATTGAACACGTCAACATTTCTCTCAAAAAACATATTTCTAATTGAGCTATTGACATGAAATTTTCACCAGATGTCGGCATCAACCCAAGTAATGCACACATAGAAAGAAATCCAAGCATTTCTGTCCATAGATGAAGTTTGTGTAATTAAGTGAAATGGCACAGGGAATAAGTATTGATCACGCGTACTGAAATTTATTTAATACTTATTGCAAAAACCTTTGTTGGTGATCACAGCCTCAAGACGCCTCCTGTATGGAGAAACCAGTGGAATACATTGCTCAGGTGTGATTTTGGCCCATTCATCCACACAAACTGCCTTCAAATCTTCAAGGTTCCGAGGGTCTCTTCTGTGAACACGGATCTTCAGTTCTTTCCAAAGATTTTCAATTGGATTCAAGTCTGGTGATTGACTGGACCATTCTAGCAGCTTTATTTTCTTTTTCTTCAACCAGTTGAGTGTTACCTTGGCTGGGTGCTTGGGATCGTTGTCTTGCTGAAAGATCCACCATCTTTTCAACTTCAGCAGCCTGGCAGATGACAGCAGATTCTGATCAAGAATGTCTCGATACTTTTCTCCAGTCATTATTCCTTCAATGATATGAAGTCTACCAGTACCACATGCTGAAAAACAGCCTAATGCCATGATACTCCCACCTCCAAACTTGACTGTTGGTATGGTGTTTTGGGGGTGATGTGCGGTGCCATTTTTCCTCCAAACATGTTGTGTCTTATGACATCCAAAGAGTTCAATTTTGATCTCATCTGACCAGAGTATCTTCTCCCAGAATGTCATGGGTTTATCCAAATGTTGTGTCGCAAACTCCAAACGAGCTTCAACATGCTTCTTCTTCAAAAATGGAGTCTTGCGTGGTGTGCGTGCATGGAGGCCATGGCGGTTGAGTGCATTACTTATTGTTTTCTTTGAAACAACGGTACCTGCTGATTCCAGGTCCTTCTGAAGCTCACCACGAGTGATCCTAGGCTGTTGGAGAAGCCTTCTGATGATTGTTCTGACACCTCTGTCTGAAATCTTGCGAGGAGAACCTGGCCGTGGCTAGTTTATGGTAATGCCGTGTTCTTTCCACTTCCGGATGATGGCCCCAATGTTACTCACTGGAACTTTCAGAAGTTTGGAAATGCGCCTGTAACCAATGCCTTCAGTGTGTTTTGCAACAATAAGGTTGCGAAGGTCTTTGGACAGCTCTTTTCTTTTACCCATCATGCAATGCTTCTTATTTAACACCTTGCTGGTGAGAAACCTTTTTAAAAGGCATCAATCAGGATTATACCAGCTGATATTACTTTGCACTAATAGGTGGCAGGTTAACCTTCTGAATACTGACAAACTCCAGCTGCTGGTTGATGCTGACATCTGGTGAACATTTCATGTCAATAGCTCAATTAGAAATATGTTTTTTGAGAGAAATGTTGATGTGTTCAATACTTATTTTCCCCACTGTATATCTCGTCTTTGGCCTTCCTCTTGACCTCTTGCCTGGCATCTCCACCTCCAACATCCTTCTACCAATATAACCACTATCCCTCCTCTGCTCATGTCCAAACCATCTCAATCTGCCCTCTCTGACTTTGTCTCCAAAACAACCAACCTGAGCTGTCCCTCTGATGTGCTCGTTCCTAATCTTGTCCATCCTCGTCACTCCTAAACTAAACCTCAACATTCTCATCTCTCCATCTCTGCCTCTTGTCTCTTCCTCACTGCTACAGTCTCTAACCCATACATCATAGCTGGTCTCACTACTGTTCTGTACACCTTTCCATTGATTCTTGCTGACACTCTTCTGTCACACAACACCCCTGACACTTTTCTCCATCCACTCCAACCTGCCTGCACTCATCTCTTCACCTCTTTTTCACACTCCCTGTTGCACTGGACTGTTGACCCCAAATATCAAAACTCCTGCACCTTTTTGACCTCAGCCTCCTGTAACTTCACTGTTCTATTTCCCTCCCTCTTGTTCAAACACATGTATTTTGTTTTACTATGACTGACTATCATTCCTCTTCTTTCTAGAGCTGACCTCCAACTTTCCAGGTGTTCCTCCACCTGCTCTCTGCTCTCACTACAAATCACAATGTCATCTTCAAACATCATTGTCCACAGAGATTCCTGCCTGGCCTCATCTGTCAACCTGTTCATCACCATAGCAAATAAGAAGGGACTCACAGCTGATCCTTGATGTAGCCCCACCTCCACCTTGAACTCCTTTGTCTGACCTACAGCACATCTCACTACTACTCTGAAGTACTTCTCTGCCACTCCTGACATCCTCATACAGTACCATCGCTCCTCTCAAAGACACAGTGCAGCTCCTTCTGACCATCTCTGTACTTCTCCATTAACATTCTCAGAGCAAAAATTGCATCAGTAGTGCTCTTCCTGGGCATGAAGCCATACTGCTGTTCACAAATATCCACTTCTCTTCTTAGCCTAGCTTCCACTACTCTTTCCCAAAGTTTCATTGTGTGGCTCATCAACTTTATGCCTCTGTAGTATTTACAACTCTGCACATCACCCTTGTTCTTAAAGATTCTTGTTCTAGGACACTCCTCCATTCCTCAGGCATCTTCTCACTCTCTAAATTCTGTTGAATAACCTAGAAAAGAACTCCACCGCTGTCTCTCCTAGACACTTCCACACCTCAACAGGTATGTCATCTGGACCAACAGCCTTTCCACTCTTCATTCTCCCCAGAGCCTTCCTTACCTCATCCTTTCTAATCTTTTCAACTTCCTGCTCTACAATATGGACCTCTTCCCCCTTCTTTCCCTCTCATTCTCCTCATTCATCAATTCCTCAAAATACTCCTTCCATCTTCTCTG